ATTACTTGATGTATTACTTGTATATTGATGTGTTACATACTTGTATACTATGTGATATGTCATTTGTATATTACTTGATGTATTACAGTACTTGTATATTATGTGATTTGTCACTTCTATATTATATGACGTGTCACTTGTATATTACTTGATGTATTACTTGTATATTATGTGATGTGTTACTTATATATTACTTGATGTGTTACAGTACTTGTATATTATGTGATGTGTCACTTGTATATTACTTGGTATATTACTTGATGTATTACTTGATGTGTTACGGTACTTGTATATTATGTGATGTGTTACTTGTATATTACTTGATGTGTTACAGTACTCGTATATTATGTGATGTGTCACAGTACTCGTATATTATGTGATGTGTCACTTGTATATTGCATGATGTGTCACTTGTATATTACATGACATGTTTATGTTTTACATTTATTTTTTCCTTATTGGGATCCATAAGAACATTACTACTAACCAATCCTAAACCTAAAATAACATACCTGCATACAAAGTGCAAAATCTGCTGCATCCTTAGTATTACCACTCTGTGGATGAAGCTGAAAGCATCCCTGTTGACAGATCTTATCAAAAGCCATACAGTTACGTGGTTGGTACCAGTTAGTTTTCTGAGCATGGAAACCCCAAACAAATGTTTTGTCAGGCAGTGGTGCCATGAGTCGACTGAAGAAACTTGGCCAATTATCAAGATCCACCAAAATAATCTGGGCCATTGATTCCAAAAATTTCATTGATGGTCCAATCCAGTTAGTGGGTGTTGAAGAATTACTGTTCTTATGACTGGAAACTGTCCCAAGAACTTCCTGTGAAGGAACAGAAGCACTGGCGATATTTTGGTTGACATCACACTTGCCGAGAGATCCAGGAACAGACAGAGTTGCAGGCTTGCTGGTACTACTGGAGTGATAAGCTCTGGTACCAAAAGGTCTTGCATATCTGTTACTAGAACCATACAAAGCTGTAGTCTGCATTCCACCAAAACATAGAAATGGGTTCACTGTGCGATTATTAAAGTTAAAATTTCCTGGCACATTTTTCTGAGCCTGAAAATGATATCCCAAACCGGCGGGATAAGGGGGAAGACTAGGTAATGGTTTCTTATTTCCATACACACTTTTACTGTTGTTATTATTTCTGTTTCTTCTCCTATGAATGCTGAAACTTGTTAAGGGAATACTAGTGGAAGGAAGTTGTGGATTTGCAGTCTTCAGAGCCGCAGCTTGACTGGTTTTGTTGTTCAATGTCACTTTGATATCAAGGCCTTTTTTATTTACAGTTTTATCTTGGAAAGCACTGCTCAGAGGTGGCGTCTCCATACATGGCATTTCTAATCTACGTTTCTTGGAGGATGAGTTCTCCTCTTCACATTGTCTCTTCTTTTGTGTCTGCAGATAACTGTGTTGTGAAAGTAACTTGTTGCAGGTGACAAGGAGATCCTTAATTGTAGTGCATTTTGTCCACAATGGTTGCTGGAATGTAGAACAAATAAATCTTAGTAGCTTTATGCTTCAATGTATTATTAGGTAAGTGCAGAAACATTACATTGCAAAGCATCTTTCAGAATAAATATCAGATAATGGTTTTAAATTAACAAATGAGCATTAAAGCAGCAGTCTATGTGCACAAATCTGAAACAAAAAATTGTATTGTTTCTTTCACAAACCAATAAATTAAAGACTATTGAATTTATCTGCCAAATCAAATCACCTGAAAATTAAACTCAGCGAATACTTCTCGTTTTACAATTATGGTAATTTTTATCATACTGCTGTGTAACACGCTCAGTTCCTCCCTTTAAATAGAACGGTTAATTCCCTCAGATATCACTAAACAACACCCACAATATATTTCAGATTTTTATCATACTGCTGTGTAACACGCTCAGTTTCTCCCTTTAAATAGAACGGTTAATTCCCTCAGATATCACTAAACAACACCCACAATATATTTCAGATTTTTTCAAAAATTTTGATCTGTAGCTAATAAAAAATATGTTAATTTGTTCCAAAACTAACAAAAAAAAAAGTGTGCAAACCTAAATTTTGGACAGAAAAATCGATTCTGCTCCACTATTTATCAAATAGAATCACTATGTATTAAACATTCTAAAAACTGGTCATATACAAATGTAGAAGACACCAAGTGACTCCTTACACACTACAATGTATATAGCACTATGTATTAGAGTTTTTACCTGTGGATTATTCTTTGGGCACACATCATTATGAGTGTTCATCTGACTTTTAGTCAAAGTAGTACCGCAGTGGAAACACATCCATGGTGAAAGGACCAGAGTGTCTAATATGGATGTCATACTACCAGACGGGTTTGGTATAAACCGTGCTTTGCATCTACAAACAAACAGTTGATAGTAGATATATCAGGCAATAGTACATTTATAATCAAACCCAGAAATAAGTGCTTGATATCATACTTTCAGATTATCCGCATTTATACAAAATTACAATTGGTGTGGGGACTAAAGTCTCTCTGCCATTTAGAATTTTACAATCAAAGCATAATGGCAAAAAAAAATAACCGTCTCTTAATATTTGGTATACAATGGTATTTAGAATACTACTACGTCCATGTTGCTAAGCAATATTCAGAGTGACATATTAAGAGCTGATTATTTTCAGTTTCAAGTTGTATCAAATCACATTTTATTGCCAATAAAAAGTTCAACTGTATTAAAAGTTAACGGTATCAGTGATCTTACATGCATGCATGCAAACATGTGTTTAGTTTTAGTCCATGGCATCTTTGATTTTGTACAATAGTGTGCTGCAATTAACTGAATAAGTACACTGCTCATTACTTCACACAAATTGTTATGGATTATGTGAGAATCACTGGGCTGCAGGTAACTGACAATTATTTGGTTCAAGGTGAGTTTTGAATTAGCGATATCGAACTACCAGTATAGGAAATCAATCAAGGTGAAATAACATGACCATCTGTAGTTGGAAGATATTCTAGTCGCTTGACAGTTATAACAAGATATGAATGTCACAGTCCCCATCACTTAAGTTAGAAATGCAGTTTACCTGACAGGTATTTTAATTAGTTAATTACGAAACCAAGATGACCTCCCTTGTCCACAAAACTATATATTTTCGGAAAGCTTATTGTATGAATTTTAAAATTTTGTTAGTATTTTTTTTATGGACACTGTAGTTTGAAATATGCACAAAAATGTGCTTTTTTGGTCAAAAGTGATTTATAAAAAAATAGCTTCTCAACAATACTTCTGTTTCCTGTCAAAATTTGTTTACGGGTACATCTTTTTACTATGAAGAAAGTGCCATCTTGAAAACTGTGTACCAGCTGTCAATTTTGCAGGGCAGCAGTTCAAATTTCACTACTTCAAGTTTATGCATAAATTAACACCCAGGCAAGTTGTCTGTACGATTGTTGTAACACTGTTCAACCAAAAACAATGCCCTGACGGCGTTTTGAAGATAAACACATTGTCAATAATTCGTGAAAATTTCAAAACAAAAGGTCAAAACGTCTAGGAGCTATTTTTTTTAAAGTTCTGGGATGTGCACTGAAAAGAAGCTGAGATAATTGCTAATTTGCATAACAATTCACTCAGTAAGAAGTTTGCTAATGCTCATAATTAAAATGGCTGTAATAATTCCAAATTTAAATGTACATGTATTATCATTTTGTAAAAAGTTAAATATAGTGCATAATATGGAGATCCCGTCATTTCTTTTTTTCGCCATGTTTCTTTTTTATTATTTATGTACAGCCTTGCTAAATCTTGCTAAGCATTCAAAAGAGAGAATGTCTGCACCTGTTATCTATATTTTAAAATCGTCTTTTGAGTATGTTCAACTATTCACAATTCAACAAAATTTTAACAGTCTATAGCCAAGACTGTTTGGATAATAAAAAGCAAAAAAAAAATTCACTCCTAAGTGCCCAAGAACCTGCATCTCTACCTTAATTATGAAATTCTCATGTTAAAATAATACATGGAACATCTGAAAACAGGTGAATTAATATGTACTTTATGTGGGAACAACTCATCATAAAGAGATTTCCCTTAATCTAGTATTGTATAGATAACTGAAAACTTCCATGAGTTCAAATAAACTATGTCTCATACATGCTCAAGAAACTGCATTCATAAATCTGAGTAAACCTTTATTTATCTGTTATAACAACTTGACTTCTTTGTTAATTCAGGTCTTTGTATATTACCAGGACCTGGGTTTGTTTCAGTATCACCACTATAATTCCCATCAAAGTGATATTGGAAATCATTTTTTACAGTTTAAAGATATAATATACAACAACATTTCTGACCACTTTTTTCAAGATTTTGTTTTCATTATCTAACCCAATTATTTATTCTGTGTATGCTCAGTTGCTCTGTCAGTGCATGGTGCATGGTGCATGGAGCATGGTCAGCGCAGTAGGGAGCGGTAATTTTGGATGGAAATCTTTTCAGATTTGGAAAAAAAAATTATGTGCATATTCAACAGAGACTTGTTCATCAACCTGCCAAGTTTTATTGATATCTGCTGCAGAATTTCTGAGAATATGTTAGAGACATAAAGGGGAGTGGACAGAAGGAAACCAGAAATAAGAAATAATAGTCGCTTTTCTAGCATTCTCAGTGAAAACTGACGGCCAACATAACATTCGTAGCAACTAACAACCTGTGATTTATTGTAAATTAATTCTTGACAAAGTGTTTGGGTAGAAAGGTACAAGTCAGTCAAGTATGTTTCTCCATATCTCACATGGCGGTGACACCCATTACTCACATGTATGGCCGCTTATAGTGTGAAGGAACTGAACTTTTTTTTTTTTACAAACACATATCCTCAATAAGCATGTATATAAGGGGGTCTAAAAACTAACTCTGTAACGTGATAGTGCGGCTCTAGGGATGTACATGTAAATTACATGGTAGCCTTACCCTAAAATATGAGTGTTCATTTCAGTTTTGTCCTTCAGATCAAATCCTTGGTTGCATTCAACACAGATAAAACCAGTGACATTCTTTTCTAAGATTATGTCCATAATGGCATCATAACACTTTTCTTGAATTGGTAATGGTACAACTGTACTCTCACTATCACCTGCAAGCACAAATGGTAGAACAATCTTGTAAACATTAACACAAACAAGTGTGTCTTCAAACAAATCATTCACTGGCCTAGCTAAAATCTTCAGTACTCCAAAACAGAGGTACGGAGATTCGACAGCCTAGGATTCATGTATGCACAGCCATTGAAAACCTTTACAATATTCCATAAAGGTCTCACACCACGGAGCATGCCTAAATTATAAGTTTATCATAATCTCATTTCCTGACCTGAAGTTTTAATACAATTAAAAATAATCATTGAATAAACAACCATTGCTAACAAAAAGCGCTATCATCCGTGACATCAGTGCTTTATTTTCAAATTTTAAATACTGTATTTTAATTTAAGTATCATTTTTGGAATATTCCAATCTTTTCTTGTACCTAAATTACAGTCAAATTTAGGTTTTTTAATAAAATAGTTTTAAAAGCTAATAGAATATTATTATTATTATAGGGACTAGCAAGAATGAGTAAACTTTGTTCCAACAATGAACACTGCACATAATCAATATAATTTAAAACAGCTATGATATGGATATGAAAACTGACACACTGACAGTTAGTTGTCAAATGACACACCAAATGAATCAATCACAATTACATGGTCGTATATACACTTTTTGCAACTGCTAATACTAGTATGCGACTAGTTAGTAGGTACCGTACTCGACCGCGTTAGCGCCCAGGGGCCTCAACTCAG